TATATTATGAATTATTTGTTTTTGTAAAATTTAAATAAAAGGTTTTCTCACATCTTATTTTTATTTCTCAGATCTTAGTTATGGCCATAGCTATAGTTGCCCAAAACACTCAAAGATTAAATGACTTGTCCGGGGACAATATGCGTCAGACGCAAGATTTATACTCAGGTCTTCCAGGCTTCAAGTCCTGCTCTCTATACATTATACTATGCTGACTCTCAAAATGTATCAAGAAAATTTTAAAATAAAGAGGCTTATAATGCATTCAATAAATTCAACTTAAATGGGCAATAACTTTAGACTCAGTCATATGGCTGAATGCTTATAAAGAAATGATGATCTGAAAGCTGGAATATATGAAACTCAGGTCTTAACTTCACACGAATCAAGTTCAAGATCTGTTTAATGCAGTTGCTAAGACAATTCTACCATTATGTAAAAGACACCATATTTATCAGTGATTGTAGAAAAAGGCACTGAATGAAATGTTAAAAGGATCTATCTTCAGGGGCAACACAACCACGTACATCATAGGCATTGGCCATAACTATGATCAGAGAAATAAAAACTCTTTTTGTTTTACAAAAACAAATAATTCGCAATATGAAAATATTGATTCAATCTCCTTCAATAGGAAGATTTGGATTGTGTTCCAAAAACCTATAAGTCACTTGTTCGGAATTTATATTACACATTTTCCGTAGAAACAACAATGGTTAGGTTCCTTGTCAACGCAAGTTAAAAACTGACAATGTTGTTAAAATACTCTAACATTTGCGATAAATAAATATTAAAGACAATCTGTTGCAATGTTAATCTCTGGGGAGAAAAAAAACAAAATTTTACAACAAAAGAATGACAATTTTAAAAAATTTATTGTGAAGGCTATTGTTTGAAAACTAGATTTAACTAGAGACCTTTCCCGGAGATTGTGATATCAACTTGCATGTTTCCAGAGCTTTCCAGAGGTTGGTAATATTGGTTGCTGTATCTAATGTCACCTCAAAACTTAAGGCTCTCTTTTGAATTGATAAACCTGTACTACCAGTATCAGCATCTGAAACTTATTTAGGAGGCATTAGGATAATTTTTTTTTTAGTTCACAATTAAAGCAAAGACAAGAAAGGAAGGAGGCAGGGCAATACATTTTCTCTTTTTACTGGAAAAGACCTCCCCTAGCTGAGCTGCAGTCATGCCTAAGAATTACTAAGAGGTTTCCCCAAGCTGACATTCCATTCAGAATCTTGGGATCAAATCTAAAAGCATCTTCCTACGTGGAACTATGGCTGCCTTATGGCTAATGGACAGCACTCCAATTTAATACCTTTTCTTCTAATGCCCTAACAGCTGTCATTCAGAAACCCTGACCAAGCAGATTTTCTTTTACATATCTACCTTTCTCCTATTCTAATCCCTGAGGTAGCTAGTGCATGAATATAATGCCTAATTTGGAGTCAGAAAGATATGACTTCAAATTCTATCTCTGAGGCTGTGTGAGCCTGAACAAGTCATTTAACTTTCGTCAGCCTCAGTTTTTCAATCTATAAAATGGGGATAATAATAGCATTTCACGAGGATCCTAGGCTTAATCTCTTAGAGCCGTTATGAGGATCAAATAAGATAACATAAGTTCTTTTCAAACCTTAAGATAATATAAAAATGTTATAAATATTACTTAAATTACATAACCTTACTTCCAATGTCCTGTCAGTTCACCCTTTCCATATAACCCTATGGCACACCCACATGAGTAATGAACTCAGTTCCACTCTGAATTGATTCCTCTTACATTTCTCCCACTTCCTCCTGCCTCTTGACACTAATTAAAACGTGATTTTCTCCTAAAGACAACACTCCCTTGCCATCTGGATGTCTCTAATGTGGACCACAACTTCCTTATACAATAGGACCTATGTAGCCAAGAGGTATACTCCTTGTTTCCCAATGCCACTTTAACCTACTTGAAACAGAAAATCACTTACTCAACAAGTATTTATTATCTAACTACCATATAAAAGGCAGTTAGGCAGTCAGTAAACATTTATTAACTGTTTATTATGTGCCAAGTACTGGGGATATAAAAACAGGCAAAAGACAGTCCTTGTCTCAGGGAAATCTTAATCTAATGAGGGAAACAACAAGCAAGGAAATACCTACAAACAAGATATACAGGATAAATAGGAAATAACTAAAAGAGGCAAGGTATTAGAACTAAGAGGAATTGGAAAGACTTCCTGTAGAAGATAGTTTCAGTTGGGCCTTAAAGGAAATCAGGGAAGCTAGCAGGCAGAAATGAGGAGGGAAAACATTCTAGGCATGTGGGACAACCAGAGAAAAAGCCTGGCGCAGGGAGATAGAGTATCTTTTTTGAGGAACAACCAAGATGCCCAGTGTCAATGGATCGAAGAGTGTGGGATGAGGAGTAAGGAGTAAGTCTTCTATTAGACTTTCTTTCCCTCTCCCTGCCCCCCTGAGTAAGCATAATAATCAGCTAGAATTGGCCATACTTTATATAAATTCTAACATCTGACTTTTCACAAAGATCCAATTCCCTTACTGCCACCACATTTAAGTTACAAGAAAATTAATCCAAATATTTTACACAATTTCACTTGATCCTAAAAAGATATTTTCTTTGATGAATAATCAACATAAAATCAAGTTGGTAGGACACATATAAATACTCCTGAACAATAAAAAGCCATCTTATCATCAAACATTAAATATGATCTTTATAATGTGGATCATCCTAGGAAACTACGTATTCAGTGTACATAAATCTTGATAATTACTATAGTTCCCAGATTTCCTTGCCAAATCCTAACCACTGCCATCTGAAAAGGGGAGGTGGGGAAACAGAATCAGACATTTAATTATCTAACTTTGTCATCTATAGCTTAGAAAGAAGGAAGAACAGGATGGCCTTTATATTCTGATCTAAGTCATAATTTAAATGGTAGGATAAAGGGGACATAAGTAGAATAACTACTACAAAACATTTGCAAGTTGTTGGAGCTATTAGATTTCGACACATGAACAATATTATATAATAGTTTTGAGTTTTGTGGCTGAAACAGTGATGTGGGGAGTACAAAGTCATTTTGACATTCCTGACACTAATAAAAAATAAGAGGGGAGATTGCTTCCAGTCTCTAATAATCTGCAATCAGTATATTTCAGGTTGATTTATTCACTATATTTATAGTATATTTCTCTATATTCATTTCCATCCCCAAAGCTATATTCAATATCTACTTGCTTCCTATTCATCAAATGGCACTGTAAAACTGCATCACATTTTAAATGAATGGGATGTGGACTGCTGCTTCAGAAAAGCAAATGGTTTATTAAACAGAAACCAAGTCAACAGGAGTCAAAGATCACACAAAGACTTCTCTGGAAAGCAATACTCTGAAGTAGTTGCCAGACCAACCTCTGAGTCATTGAATGTTTAATGCAGGAGCTAAAAATTCCATTTGCTTTATGTCTATGTCAGTTTTAAATTTAGTGCTACAATTCTTTTGCGGTGTTGTGAAAATCCAGGGTGTTTCCAATTACTTTAAGGAATGTTGCAAAAAGTTCTCAAAACAATTTAAGTTCATATTTAGTTTCCAATGCATGCCAAACTTGTTTTAGAGGTGAGGGGGAATAAAGAGAAGATAGTATTATAAAAAAAGTACAAGTTCTCTCAACTAGAGAACTGAGAGGACTTTAGGGTTACCAGTATATAAGAGAAAACCATAGACCTTGCAGTGGCAGATGAACAGTGTGGGTGTAGCTGAACACTGATAATCACAGAAGTGGGCAGCCTGCTCATCTCAAAACTTACAAAGTCAGGCAGTGGGATTATGCAAAGAAGGACTTATTTTCTGTAAAATGTTTGTGTCTTATTTGTTTTCATCTTGATGGTATATGGTGAAAAAATAGATGAGAAATGAAAAGGTTTAACACTATTCTGCCCTATCTGAAGCTACACAGACATTAGTGTCACAAGCTTGGCATATTAACATTTTACTTTCCTATACTTTCAAAAATAGGGTTAAGAACCCATCGTTCTAGTGCTTTTAACAATTCCCAGAGACACTTAATACTCCAACTAAACTAACGAATGAATCTTTTTACAATTTAACTAGCCCATCTCTTTTTTCTAAACATGCATTTTCTTGGTAATGTCTATGAAGTGCAATATCTGTATATTTTTAAAGTACTCCTTATATCTCAAGTAAAATTATAGATTAAGAACTGTAACATGTCTCATATATGCCTCCTTCCCTCCTCTGACACCCTTATGAACAGGCCCTTACTACCTCATAACTAGACTGTTGCAATAGTGTGCAAGTTGGTCTCACTGACACAAGTCTTTCCCCATTCCAGTCCATCTTCCACTTAGCTTATTAAATGATCAATGATCTTCTTAAAATGCAGGTTTGACTATGTCGTTCCAGTGTCTTCCTATCACCTCCAGGATCAAATGTTTGGTATGCAAAGCCATTCATAGCCTGTCCCCCTAACCTTTCCAGTCTTCTTACACTTTACAACTCCCACCTCCCCACCATGTACTCTGCAATCCAGGGACACTTACCTCCTTGCTGTTCCTCAAATAAGAAATTACATCTCTCAACAATCTCAGAATTTTAACCAGCTGTTCTCCATGTGGAATGCTCTCCTTATATAGTGAGCATAATGATGCAAATGCAAAGAACAAAAACCTAAAACTGAATGCTGTGACATTATAATGATCAAACTTGGCCCCAATAAGCAGAAAAGAAATTTTATCTCCTTTCCTTCTTTGCAGATGAAACACTGCATATACTGTCAGCTTTGCGTTAGTTTTGCTGAACTGTTATTTTTTTTTCCTCTTTCTTATTCTTTGTTACAAAGAATGGCTCTCAGAGTGCTTATGGGAAGGTGAGGAAAAGCAACATATATGGGAATAAAGATGAAGTAAAAACAAAATTTTTAAATAAATTTTTAAAAAAATAATAAAAAGCAAGATTTACCCTATGCTTTGCTTTAATTTTCTTTCTGTATTCTTCTTTGTCAAATTTGTCCTCTTCTTGCAGTCTTTCCTTTGCTTTCTCCAAGTTGATGCCAGCACACTCATCCTCTTCCTCAATTTTGTTCACGTTGGATTTCTGTATAGGTGGCCACTGCTGAACTAACTGTTAATTCAAAGAGAAGATATCAATAAACTTTTATCATTTAGGATGACAACCACTCATTCAAACTAAAATGGACAAACACACAATTTTTGCCATAATACCTTTGTTTCTTAAGCTTTCTGTACACCTGCTTGGCCCTAGAGGGCAGAACTAGGCAAAAGTTGGAAAGAAGCAGGTTTAGGATATATACACAGAAAAAAACCCAACTTCTTACCAATTACAGCTATCCAAAAATAAGAGAATGATGCAGAAAGTAATAGGTTCCTTCTTGCTAAAGAGCTTCAAACAAAGAGCAGGTAACTACTCATTGATGATGTTTTAAAGGATATTCTCATATAGATGCAGAATGACAGCCACTGCTATCTCTTTGAATTGTGATATTCTGTGACCTCTGTAAATTATGTGATACTGAAATATGAAGTATATAAAGACTGAACATTTCATCAAAAAGAGCACAAAGCTAGATCTTACCCAAATGGTGCATAATGAAAAATTTTAGTGACCAAACATGACCATTATTTTGACACCACAAGGTAAAAGACTGAACTGAGGCCAATATTTTAGGTCATATAATACAGTAGGATTTGAAAGCACATGACACAGAGCTCATAGGAGCAGTAAATAAATCTTAACATTCAAAGATGAGGATTTTTTCTCCCTTCTAAAAAATTTTCTGCTAGTTAGACATAAAAAGTACGATCTCTGCAGTTTACCATTTCAGCATACTAAAGAACCTGATCTTCAGAGGAAAAAATATTTTTTTGTTCAGCATATCATTTAAAGAAAGCAGTGGTCAGCTCTTGACAGGAATTACACAAAATTCATTATTTATTACAATAGATCCTCAAGAGGATTCTGGGAAGATGGCAGAGTAGGGCAGAAAACTTTCAGCTCTCCAAATTTCCTCCGTAAAAGAAGACAGAACATGGTATCAGAGCAGCAGAAATAAACACAGGGTAAAGCAGCTGTCCTCCTAAGACAATTTAAGAAGACCCTAAGAAAGTCCTAACCTCCAGGGCAGGAGGTTTGGCCTGAGTGACCTGCAAACATCTCTAAGCCAACTCAGCATTATCAACAAATAACAAGCCCTAGGGGTAACTGGGTTGAGTGGTAGCCTCCACCTTAGAAACTTTCATTTTGCAGACAGCGTGAAAGTCTGACCACTGAGGAGAAGACTGAAAGACCTTCCACTGTCAAGGAATGCTAAGCACAGCTGTGCTGACCAGACGCATCTGGGGCCAAGGGTTTCAGGGAGAAGGAGCTAGCACACACCTGGTGAGTGCAGTAGTGAGGGGCAGGGACCCAGTTGGCTGCACCCACTTGCAGCAGAGCATTGTCCCTGGTTTCAGTTCCAGGGCAGAGAGGACTGGCGTAGTTTGCAGCCACCCAAGAGACCACAGGGAATAAGGTCATCTGTGGGACACTGTGGCTGAGGGCCCTGAGTGGAGAGGAGAGCCCAAGGTTGGGCCTGGAGACATAGCTCAGAAAATAACAATAAGAAGGACCTGAGACTTGGGGCATCATTCCCCATACCTCAGGACCACAACTTAATTACACTAATAGCGGCTAAAAACAAAATAAAACGAAAATAAATAAAAATGAGTAAGCAAAGGACAAAGAACCCAACCATAGATAGTCACTATGGGGATAGAGAGGATCTGAGTTCATATTCAGAGGAAGATAACAGAGCTAAAAAAAGTCACTCCTTTTTCAATGAGAAACGTCAAATGGTCCCAAGCACAAAAAAAGTTCTTAAGAGAATTTAAAAAGGACTATAAAAATAAATAAGGGATATTGAGGAAAAATTAGAAAAAAAAATGAGAGCAGTCCAAGAAAATCAAGAAAATTATGCTATGTTTTGTTTTAACTGGGGGGCTGGGAGAGCTAGGCAATGGACTTGCCCAGGGTCACACAGCTAGTAATGTTATGTATCTGAAGCAGGATTTGAACTCAGGTCCTCCTCACTCCAGGGCCAGTGCTCTATCCACTGTGCCTCCTAGCTGCCCCAAATCAAGAAAATTATGAAAAGAAAGTCAACCAACTGGAAATGAGAATCCAAAACTTAAGAAAGAAAATAATTCCTTGAAAACTAGAATTGGGCAAGGGGAAGTTAATGACATTCTAAGACACAAAGAAATCATAAAACAAAAATCAAAAGAATTAAAAAAAGAAGAGAAAGTGAAACATCTCATCAGAAAAATAAACAATGTCAAGAACAGATCAAGGAGAAATAATTAAGAACAGTTGAACTACCAGAAAGTTACAATTTTAAAAAAGAATCTTGATACAATATTACAAGAAATTATCAAGGAAAATTCAGGTGCTCTGAAGTTCTAGAACAAGAAGTCAAAGTAGAAATAGAAAAAAATCCACCAATCACCACTTGAAAGAGATCCCAGGAAGAAAACTTGCAGGAATATCATAGACAAGCTTCAAAACTCCCAGGTTAAGGAGGAAATATTGGAAGCAATAAGAAAAAAAAATTAAATATCATAGAGCTACAATAAGGATTACACAAGACCTAGCAGCTATTACATTGCAGGCTTGTAGGTCTTGGAATATAATATTCTGTAGAGCAAAAGAACTGAGGTTACAACCAATGATAACTTAGCCAGCAAAGTTAAGTATAATCCTGAATGAAAAAAAACCAAAACCAAAAACAAAATGGATATTTAATGAACTCAAAGACTTTCAAGTTTTTGTGACAAAAACCCCTGAACTGCAGGGAAAATTAGACATATAACATCCAGGAGAAATATAAGGTAAACATTAAAGACCAATTATAAGGGACTCAATAAGGTCAAATTTTTACTTCATATATGTGAAAATATTAGCAATACTCTTATGATTGTCATTATTATTTGGGGAGCTTAAAAGAAAGGAGTGGGATAAGCTGAGGGTGATTCTAAAAAATAAAAAAAAAATTCTAAAAAAATAAAACTATGTAGGCCTCATAAAAATGAGGCAAAAAAGGAAAAAACTGATACACAAGAAGCTAGTAGGGGGGAGGGAGAGTAGTGCTAGAACCTTACTCTCACCAGGAATAAGTTAAAGATGGAACAACATATGTACCTAGAAAAGCATAAAAGTCTTCTAAATTCAGAAAGATATATGAGGGCAAGGGAAAAGGATGAGAGGAAAGGGTAAGGGAGGGACTTTAGGGTGGGGTAGGTTAGGGAATAGGAGTAGCAGATAGAAGTGAAGCAGAGGAGTGAAGAGGTATAGTATAAATAGAGTGAGAAGGATAGTGACGAAAAACAGGAAGGAGAAAAATGCACAAATAATTGTAGCTTAGAATGTGAACAAGATGAATTTACCTATAAAACAGAAATAGCTAGCAGATTAAAAATTTGAATTCAACAATATGTTGCTTTTAGGAAACATTTAAAAAAATGAGAGATACACCCAGAGATAAAAAGAGCATGAGTAGGACTGAGTACATAAAAAAGCAAGGATAGTAATCATGACAAAGTTAAAGTTAAAATAGATTTAATCAAAAGTGAAAAATAGGGAAACTACACTGTATTAGCAACATTATTCAATATTGTTGTAGACCATTTAAAATACTTAGACAGTATAAAGTAGCTGAGTGTATACCTGCCAAAATAGACACAGAACTATATGAACATAAACATAAAACACTTTTCATACACATAAACTCAGATCTAAATAACTGAAATAATATTTATTGTTCATGGGTTGGTAAAGCCAATTTAATTTTTTAAATGACAATTTTACCTAACCAATCCATGTATTCAATATCATTCCAATTAAGTTACTAAAAAATTATTTTACTGAGTTAGAAAAAATAATAACAAAATTCATTTGGAAGAATGACATGGGTTCTTGGTTTTCATCTGGCTTCTTATGCTTTTTGCCATGAGAATTTGGAAAGCTGATACAAATTTAAACTACGGGTCATGAAACAAAAATCTCAAAAGGAATCTTATAATTACTGTTTATTGAAAAATATATGTCTGAGGCAGATTAAAGCTACTCTAACATGTGAGGATTACATGGGCATTATTTACAACTCTGATGAAATATGCAGAATGTCTGGATATGAAAAATGTGTTGACACAATCAAAGCTATATTATACTGTTCTGATGTTAGCTAGTGGCACAGTTGCAAGCTTGAGTGAAACATCAGACTTGAGAGTCAGGAAACGGGGATTCTACTCTTGGCTCTGCTGCAAACTCACCAGATGATCTTTGCCCTGTCACATCACTTATCTGATCTTCTGTTCATTCATATGAAAAATGAGGCATGACTATGGGATCATCAGAATGCCTTTTAGCATTAGAATTCTGTAATTCTATGACATATTACAACACTTTCCTTAGTTTTCAGGCCAGTTTGTACAAAGGAAAAGAAGAATAAGAAATGAAGGCAGCTACATATATGAAGCACAGAAATTCTCATCATCTATATCTCTTTTGAGACACTACAGGAATAAAGTTTCTTTAGTGGAAGTAGAACAAAGACAATTCTGTCATTCTTATTAGACTTGTAGTCATTTTAGAGGTAGTTTCACCTTCCTGTAGTAGACCATAAAGTTTAGAAAACACTATGTTAGAGCCACCCCAGATGTGTTCTAGAAACTGTGTGTTTTATGTATAGTTAACAGTCAAGCAAATTAGGTGCACTGATTCCTCCTGTTCTGAATATAGTTATCTGTCAAGAGTATTCACTGAACCTTACCTCCCCATCTTCACTAAAGGTGACTTTTGTATTCACTTTAAATTTCCTCTTCATCACTTTCTTCGCTTCTGTCACTTTAGTTGCTTTTTTCTTGATGCAAGAATTAGGTGGTTTCCTCTGTGTGAAAAGAGAAAGACATAGACAGTTAACCAAATGGCTATTTTATGAAAATAATTTAACATTTGACTGTGCTCTTTCCAAAAGTGGGATAAGTCATTAGGAAATTAAGCATCTGAAGAAAAGTTGTCCAAAAATGGAAAAGGCTGCCTTGAGAAGCAGTGAGTTCTCTGTAACTGAATGTGCTTATGCAGAGGTCAAACGATTATCAATGATGCCTGCCATGGAAAGCATAGGAAGGAAATTGAAGGCTAGACAAGATGGCTTTTAAGTTCCCTTTCACACTGAAGATCTTAGGAAATCCTGATTATGCCCAAACAAAAATATTTCTTTATGTATGTGATATTCTGCACAACAGGAAAGATAAACTAGAACAGTATGTAAAGTAAAACACTACTTCAAATTAAATTTCTCAGGTGTGAATGTTATTTCAAAGATTAGATAAAGATACAAGAAGAATGTATACTTGCATAGTAAAATGTAACACAAAATTCAATTACAACCCAACATTCTCTATCCTTCAGAACGTATCCATTAAGCAACCACAAATACTTGGGAATGGTTAATTCTAAACAAGCTATTTTTGTGAATCACAAAAACAATGCTTAAAGGATCACAGTTTAGTCCCAAGTCAGTTTAGGAAACCATTTAAAGTCAATGAAAGACAACTCATTTTGAAGGCTGTATCAGTAACGCAAAGTCATGCTGGCTTGTGCTAAGCAGAATGATCAAAAAACCATTAGAAGGTACTTCAGAGAAAAGCAAAAGATTCTAAGTTAAATATGTTACTGTTACTAACCAACTCATCACAACACTTAGGGACAACCTTGAACTCCTGAATGACTTTGAAAGGAAGCAAAGGAAGATAGTCAATTCCCATCTGAGCAGTTTATTCTGTTTATATAGAAACTAATAGCCCTAACAAGCACCAATATTTCTAAAGTTTTAGAACAGACTAACCAAAACACTTGTACACAAGTGAGCAAGTTATTGCATGGAGGCAGTAACATACATAATAAGTAGGAGTAGAACTGTCCCTCACAATGTGCTAGACTAAATACATTCTTATCTGAAGGGACGGAACTCTGTAGACAGAAGTCTTTTGTTTCTTCTTAAGTGACTAAGTATCCAGGTCCTAGAAATTATTATGTAAGTTGGAAAAATTAATACCAAATTATGTGTTTAATGAGTGATGTTTTAACATTGCACAAACATATCCAAAAAACCTAAGATTAAAAGGTAAACAATTATTTGCCAAAAAACACACAATAAATTTCTCTAATAAAGGTCTTGATGGAACCCTAATAAAGATACCCCCCAGCTTCAATATTCTAACTTCCTTATAGGCCCTACTGCACAGTAAGCCCACTGCCTCTACCCAGCCAGTGACCCCCCTCCCCCCCCCAACTCAATATCCTAACTTCTTCATATATGCCTCACTGCTCACTAGAACAACAGGTGTGTCCATGAACTCATATTTCTCACAGAAACAGCAGGCATCCATTCCATGTGATGGGATCCCAGCCAATGCGTCTAGCTAGCCACTGCCCCCAGACTCATTCCTCATATTTCCCACTGAAACAGCAGGTGAGTCCTTGCACTCAACCACAACCACATCCATCTAGTCTCAGACAGGACCATAATACTCAGCCAATCACTATGCAGCACCACCAGGATGCCCAAGTAGGATGTGGACCCCAAAACAATAGAAGGGACTTTCCCTAAGTAGGCACCTGCGCAGTAATAGCAAAAGCTGCCCTTTAGATGAACCTATGATGTAGACAGGCTTATTATAATTTCATTATCACACACATTCCCCCATGTGTTTTTCTGTATGCATTATGGGAAATGGCATGCACAATTCCACTGAGACTGGGCTCCCTCCCCTATTACCTAATCCCTTAAAAAAGACCCTTCTGCCTTTTTAATATTCATAATTTGTTATGTAATTATATCTTTACCCTATAAAAATCCATCTTGCTTTCACTACAGTTGCTGGTTCCTTCTGGAACTTAGCCAGCATCATGAGAGGCATCAATCTCAGTAAATGCCTATACTTGGATTAGAGGTGGTCTGACTCTGAATTCTCCAAGATGGTTCTATCACAACACATCATGAAACTGCAACAGTCTTATTTCTAAGATATATAAGGAACTGATTCAATTTTACAGGAAAAAGAGACATTCCTCAATTGATAAATAAGCTAAGAATAAGAACCAGCAGGTCTGAAGGGAAGAAATGCGTGTTATCTGTAGCTATATGAAAAAATATTCCAAATCACTACGAATTAGAGAATCAGAAACTAAAGCAATTCTAAGATTCTACCTCAAATCCATCAAAGTGGCAAAGATGATGAAAAAGTAAAATGATAAATGTTGGAGGGTTCAAAAATACATTTATGTACATTTTTGTACATAATTTTTGTACATAATTACTGAACTTATTTTGTTTGATCACTAGTATTTGTTATAGGACATTTACTTTTCTTTCCTTCCCCCCTGCAAAAAAAAAAAAAAATTGAATGGAGGGTGGAATGAAGAGAAAATAGACATACTAATGGGAAGGGTTGCTACGTATATGAAGTGTTACGTGTACTGTCCGATAAGGTCACCATGTTATTCATTTTATTTGTTTTACTTTGCTACAAGAGACATCTCAGAATGGGGGTAATCTGTAAATGTCTGTAATATAAAAACATATCAATAAAATGTTATAAACACAAAATCAACTGGGAGACCAGTGAGGGCAAAAATTGAGGGGGAAAAACGGCCCTTTGGACAGTTGTTTAGTGCTGTCTTCTTCATTAACAACTACTTTGTATTTATATATCTTTGTCCATGTGATTTCTTGGAAGGCAAGTCTTGTTTTTCATTATGCCTTTGTCATAATAACATAACTACTGTACCTGAACAATACTTTGTAAACGGTGGGCACTTAAAAACTGTTCCTTGAATGAGTTAGATGACTAGTAATTACTATGTAGTAACAAACATGCACATAAAGATAAAAATTCATTTAAGAAAACAGATATTTATTACTATGAACATGCAAATGCTTTAAAATAACAAAAAAGAACTTAAAAATTGATAATTTTGCCCAAAGGAAGTTAGATTTTTGAAATGCTAATGTAGGAGGTGTCCCAAAAGTCTTAGTGCAGTTTTAAGCTTTAATAGCTTAAAATTAATTTTAATAGTTGGACAATTATTATTCTAAGTATTTTAACAGTCACATCTTGCATTTCTACTTGCATTGTGATTTAAGTCCTAGAAAACAGCACTGTCCCAAATGATTATGTTTTCTAGCTGTTTCTGACCAACTTACTATCACTTTCCCGAATTTATTTCACTGTAACCAAAACTGTATGAAGCTGTAAAAATACTTAATGTTTTATTTATCCATTTCTGCAGCTACAAATTAATTTATAATCAAGAAATTAATGACATTTGCTCTTCATTAGAAATTCATGACAAAAATGAATTATTTTAGATGTAAAGTATCTTACATAGCTCTGAAGAGTCATATTTTACACTAGACCTGCATCAGTAAACCATGCTTCTAAAAGCAGAACTAAGAAACCATTTATTAGCATTATCTTTAAGCCATCAGATCTCTAGACAAAATTTAAGAGTAGGGGAATTAATATTTGGTTCCCATTCGACTTTCACTTCTTGGAACCTTATCTCTTCAATAACTCAGGCATTCATTGACCCACTTTTCTTTGGTAAGACTCAGTTTTCTAGATGGAAGGGCAGAGGTACAAAAATCCAAGGAATCTAAGTTTGAAGGGACATCAAAATCAATCTATTTCAACTACTTTAGGAAAACTCTCCATTTTCTCTTGCAGGCAGCTGCAATCTACCTTAAAACTTCTACCCATCATTCCCACTTCTACCCTCTTTGGAAAAAAGACTACCATACTTTCTCATTAAAACTCTTCAGATATTTGAAAACAGGAATTCTAGCCCCTCTAGAGTTCCCCTTTTTTAGAGTAAAAATGCTCAGGTCCTTCAACCAAAACTCATAAAGCATGATTTCATGTCCCTTCGTTATCCTTCTTACTCTCTCTGAATGATTTCCAGCAGATGAAATGACTGACGATGATGATGATATATAAAGTACATTCAATGTATGTAAGTATCTTACATACATTATCTCATTTGAGCCTCACAACAACCCTTAAAGGTAGGTAGGTACTGTAGGTATTAATATTTCCTTTTAACAGAAGAAGAAATAGACTCAAAGAGGTTAAGGACTGGCCCACTGTCACCCAAGTATTAAGCATCCAAGGTAGGATACTGGACCCAAATAATTTCAAGACAGTGCAGGGGATAGAGCACTGAACTAAAAGTCAGGAAGACCGAGTTCCAATTCTGTTATTGTTAGTTGTATGATCCTAAGCAAGGGTCACTGAATCTGCTTGCCTTAGTTTCCTAAACTGTAAAATGGGGAAAATAATAGCACCTACCTCCCAGGATTGTTGTAAAGATCAAATAAGTAAATATTTGAAAGGTGCTTATCACAGTACCCGGCATTTTATTATTTATTAAGTAGGCACTTAATAAATGCTTTTTTCCTTCCAGATCATAAATCTAGTATTCCTCACATTGATGCTTTTCCTAAAATTTGAGTCCCAAATATCTAATAATAACCTGTAACAGTGTAAAGAAAAACAACTCTGAGAAATGAAATGACCCACCAGAGTACTCATGTTACCCACCTCCTGACAGAAAGGCAATGGGCACAAGATTCAGAATGATACCGACAGCTTTGGACATAGCCAATGTGGATTTTGTTTTACTTTACTATGGGTATTTTCTACTGGGACTTTGCTTTCTTTTCTGCAAATACAGAAATGGAAGTGGGAAGGAGAGAAGGACGAGGTGTGGTTAGAGACAAGGTCTCCTCCCTCTTCCTAGTCCCCATTAACAAAAACAAAGCAAGAAGGTAATATTTAATAGTCTGACCTACCAACTCTTATATGGGTGTTGCAAAGATAAAAT